ACAAGCTATCTCCCTTTGCTGTATCACAAATAACTACAGTCCTGACTTTTAGCTCATTGGGGCACCAAATTTCAGGGACAGTTTCAAATCTGGGAAGCCAGATGTGCTCCTCCTAATCTCTGCTCCTCGAAGCCTATCTCTGTAATCCTGCTCCAAGGAGCCAATTAAAGAAAATGTTTTGGGGAGCAGGAATGAAACAAGCAAGTTGAAATAGCCAAATTAGAGAACATAGAAATAGCCAGACTAGAGAACATACTGATGGCATTAACCTTTAAAAATATCTGAACTGCTTTCTGTAGGGAGCACAGACAATTTTAACTGCTGGCAGGAAGCAGTGATGACAAATCCCCTGCATTACTCCCTGTGCTGCAGTGTCCTGAAAGGGGTAGGCCCTGGTTCACTTGCAGTCCTGGTAAACAAGGCAACTGGGAAATAGATTAACAGCTCTTTCTAAAGCCGGACCATGTTCTAGTATGGGTTCCTGGAGAGTTCTGTACATACAGTTCTCGCAGAACCCATTTACATCTATTGCAAGAGGGAGTCTAATTCTGCTAGCTTAGTGAGTGCTGTATTCATCTTTAAGCTCTCTTGGAAAAGCAGCATGGTAGAGCTTAGTGGGAAACAGTAAACAAAACTTAGCATGCAGCAGCTAATGTAACTACCTTCGGAGCAAAGAGGAGCAGGTGCTCTTCTGGCCAGTAGCCACAGTTCGAAGCCTTACTGCATACGTTTCAGTCAGGAGACTGCTGGCAACTGATCAGTGGATTTGTCCAAGGCTGACATCTCTTATCTGCAGGGCAGCTGGCTTGCATGCGAATTTATAACTACGCTCAGGACAGCTGATGGGGGTTAGATACCTTGTTGCAGTAACATCTGTGGTTTTGACATTTTGCTTTTTCTTCTATCTTTAATCCAGAGCATTTTCACAACAATGTCAGGAGATAGACAGTTTGTATAAGAGTAGGTGAATTTGATGCTGGCTGATCTAAATTCCTGCTCAGCTTGTCATAGAAGAGACTTTAATCAAGTTCTGCCATATCTCAGGTCTTGAAACCGTAAGACTTGCATTGGATTTGCCCAAGTACCTGAGGCTAAACTAAGGTGTGTCGCACTGAAGGGGGAAGTCCTGTCCTCTCCACCCTTGCTTTGCCATCTTTTGGCCTCTTACCTGGCATGCCCAGCCAGTTTGGCTCACTGATACACCAGGAAGCTATCACTTTGGTTTGAAGGCTTTGTCTGCAGTCCAATGAGCTTGCTGCCACAGCTTAGAGCAGGAATGAGAAGTCAACAGGACAGGGAAGGGCCAGAATGCCTTTTTCTCAGCAGTAATGCTGGTTTAAATCAGCCTAAGATGCTTGGTAAACCACACCCAGAAATAGTTTAAAACCCTGTAAAGGTTTGACTTCAGTATTTGTTTTAGCTAACAAATCATTTCTACAAGCTCTGGTAAAACTGTTGTCCAGATGTCAGTGCTTCTTGGCAGAAAAGACATTTTAAAGAGATCACAGTAAACTAAAACAGTCCTCTACCCACTTCTAGGGAACTAGCAACTATTCCAGAAACACTGGCAAGTGTGAGATGGTAAAGCCTGTACCCTGCGGGATGGTTAACCAGAAAAGCTAGCCCTAAGCACCAATTACATCTGCTCCACTGTGGAGGAGAGGGCAGCATGGCAAATACCCCCTGTGGGATTCAGCTCTCCTGACTCATGGCCATCCCTGAAATACTAGGAATAGTGTTTTGTTTTGCTCCCATTAGCAAATGAAGAGTGACATCCACAGCCCTTTCCTTCTCTCAAGCTCTGTCTGGGTACAGCTAATTCTGGTCCATCTCGTGATGAAGGAAATGTTACTACTGAAGCAAGGATAAGGGAGTTTGCTTCTCCTGCCTGTGCCACAGGATTCTTGTGGCATTGCTGAAGTTGCAGAGTCCATCCTTGACTCATCCCTCTGCAGTGCATAGGCAGATAATAGTACTACCCTGCCTGTGAGGGCTGGACTGAGGCTCAGCACAGCGAGTGTTTCTAAAACTGGTTGTAGTCTCAGTGCCACAGACCTCTACACCTTCACACTGCTTTGGCTAGACTTCTTAGAGATTACAGGGCATGTTGTGGTCCTACAGCATTGTCACAGAGATGCAGATGTGGGCTTTACATGCTGGAACAAAACAAAACATTAGCTGGAGATGTTGATCAGAAGACACAGAACATGAAGAAGAAATACAGTACTACTTACGATTAAACATTTCTGAGTAAAGCTCATCTGTGTGCCATTTCACCCCTTTAATCTTTTTTATTATGCTCAAGCAGGTATTTTTAGTCTATTGGCATTTGGATTTGTTACTTTCAGTCAGAAAAGAAGGGGGAAACCCCCTGATTTTACAGCAGCTGCTGTAAATGCTTCTTACACCAACATAATGAGCAAATGGAATTAAAAATCAAAGTACTGTTACAAAGCAAGGTTCACTCTTCCGTTGCTTGCACACCAAATATTACTGGTGGTTTCAAGACCTCAGTCTAGATCACTGCCTGGGAAAGCATTAAAAAAACAAACCAACAAACCTTACTGATTCTGTAAGTGAATCAGAAAGCACTTTCCCAAGTATTTTAATAAACCCTGATGCATGTAAAGGATGCTCTGTGATCCCCATTAATTTAGGAAGGATTTGGGAATCTGTATTTGAATTTTTTCCTCTTCACCTATAAAGCAAATGTAAATAAGTAGGAAGGACTGGGCTGTGCTGTGGGGAAAAACTGTTAAGTTTAGGACAAGCAAGGGATCTGTCATCACTTCAGGGGTGGGTAACATTGGCTTTCACACACACCCACTTCCAAAGTGCAGAGGTATGACTTTTGCCTTTTCAGCAGTAAAGAAAATATACCAGCTAGGATCTGAAATACCTTTGCATTGACTTAGAAGACAAAAAGTAGTTTTCCCTGTCTGAAATGGAAAGGAAAAGAAACAAAAATTACTTCAAGTGAAAAATTAAAGACAGGTGAGAAGGGCAAAATGTCAGCAAGCAAGTTTCTCACAGGAAACAGTTCTTCCAGGCTTTTGGTTAAGCATTTGCCTATTTGAACAAACTGCTTTTTTCTTTCTTTTCTTTTTTTAGAGGTTTTTGGTTTGTTGTTTTTTTTTTTTTGTCCCTAAGTGTTTAAGGGTGTTTTGTTCAAACTGTTCAAAGCTAGCCCTCGAGTAGTTGAGTAAAGATAAAAACCAACAACAGAACGTGTGTAGTGCTAAGCAGAGGAGTCACCCAATCAGCCTGTGTGAAGATTCTTCACAGTACTTTGAAGTATTTTAAGCACTGGTAGGAAAAAACACTGAATACTCTTGCAGTCTGAACTAAGAAGCCTGTATTTTGAAGATTTTGTTGGAACCAAAGATATTCTTGGAGGAAATAATCTATGGGCACTTCCTTTCCTGATCTTATTTTCCCCTTGTAAGATTTTCACTAAGTATTTATCAATAGTCTTAGTGCAGGAGTGGGACTGCAGTCCCACATTCTGAAGCCTCTGTGCTGTGTTTCTGTAAAGAAACAGGAACCTACCATTTTGATTCCCTCAGAAGAGATGTTTTTACAGTGTCATCACAGGCAGCTTCAAAAGGTGCCCACTGGAATTTGATGAGTTTCTAAAAGTAGATACCCAAACTGCCTTCTGACAGCATCAACAACCAGACGTACAAAGTGGTGACTATCTCTGACCTCTTCCTGGCTATATCAGTTTGCTTATCAGCAGCACTGAGAGAATAACATGCATGTCTCTCAGTAAGGACTGCCATAAGGGGGCTACCAGTAGATGTCTGGAGCTGGCAGACAGAGACGCAGATGCTGTAACTGGCAATCCAGCATAGACACAGATAAGAAAGTTCAGATTTGTCAACATGGAGGAACAGGGGGTGGGAGGGTGGTATGGGGCTTTCTGAGGGCATCCTCAAAAAACTCTAATGTGGTATGATACATGCCAGCTCAGAGATCCTTGTAATTCCAATTACCGCATAGAAGAGAGATTGCAAGGGAATACAGAGAGATGCAACTGTGCAAACCCCTGTTTGTCATGTCAGTTATAAGCAAGCTGCACCTTGTGCTGGAAAGATGCTCCAGCCACTTCTCAAACAAGTTGTACTCTAAGTTAGTGCAGTCCAAGATCCAAGACCAGCTTCAGTGCTTGCTTTCTCACTCTCAAATGTTAGAACAGTATTTGCTGCCGCTTCTATCCTAAAAGCCATCCAGACTAAAACTGCAGGTGCTGCACTTCGGTATGAATCATAGCATAAATATCACCACAGTCACTGCTCATCACAAACAGGTTTATTTCAAAATGACCATTGCAACATGCCTCCTTTGTTTGGCTGTCTTACAATCCTTCCTCAACTCCTGCCAGCACACTTGCCACTGGGAGGTGAAAGAGATGGTCTTTTTTCACCCACCCCCCCCCCCCCCCCGTCACCTTTGGAGGTACAAGCTGCTCAATTCACCTCTAAAAGGAGGTGAGAAGTCTCTCCTTTGACCATTCTCTAAGATAAACAAATGTGGTGATTTCACAGAGTCAGGGTTTTTTGCAACATAACCACATATTTGTTACATCTGATTTCCTGTACAGCCTGTGTGCGATGCATTCTGGTAGAATATGGGGAGGTATTTGGTGTGGGGAGTCAAGTGGCCTGTTGCACTGGCTTAAGTTTCTGCCTGGGGACACTGCATTGCACGATCACCAACCACAAAGTACAATGTGCTCTGACCCAATCTCCTTCCCTCACTTCATGTCCATGTGTACAGGGACTCCTGTAGAGATACAAGACATTGCAGTGTACAGCTCTGTGCCTGAACAGGAGGGACATATCTCTCATCAGTGAACCTATAGTCATCCCAGGGCCCCTTTGCAACATCATGCCTTCAGGCAATCTGCCAGTCAGGGTAAGAATCCAATCAACAAGGGCACAAATCAAAAAACAATGTTGTGACCTATTTAATGGGAAAAGGACTATGTCGACCCAAGCTACTGGCAAAACTTGTTTAATTGCTATAGCTGCTAGCCAAGTAAGTCATGTGCAGACACATGCCTTTGAAGTCACCACACTAGCAGGGCCCCTGCAAAATATGCTTAAATGTCTCTAAATATTTGGCTGGATGAGAATGTAGTTAAGCACACACTACTTCTGCAGCAGAAAAAGAGCCTAGGAATTGTTTCATCATTCAAAGGGAAAACATAATGCCTTTCTCTGTCCAGCAGTTTGGGTGCTGCACCCATCATATTAGTGAGTGTGAATTTATCTTGCTCTGCTCAGGCTCCATATTGTAGAAGGTCATATAGAGGAGATCATCCTCCACATCATTTTCTGTTTCATGCTGTCCTTTCAGTTACCCTTTCTATGTAGATAGATAGCTGGGCTTTTCTGTCGTGGCAAACAACTGGAGAAGAAAGAAAGAGCCTGCAGGGATATTTACAGCACAGGGGATAGATTTTTTTAGTCAAAGGGAGGGGGAGGGCATGCAGGGAGGGAAACCACACACATCCATTCAAGCCTCAGGAAGCTCAGAAGAAATCAAGTTCTTCAAGTGGCAGCAGAAAACCAGAAAACCCTACAGAGGCTGTCAGACAAGAAAGCATATAAAGCAAGGTTCAAAGGCAAGAGAAAAGAAGAGTGTAACAAAGGTCTATGTAAAACAGCAGCTATAATCTTCTGCTCTCATCCTGCCAGTTTCCATGTACAAGTAATGTGAATGACTGCTAACCTCATGTGTGAGTGGTGTTGCCCCATCAACACTGCCTAAAGAAAATGTTCAGCTCATGGTCAGAACCTTCTCCTTCCCACATGCAAGTCCAAATAACTTCTGAAGAAAGAAAAAAAAACAAAAGGAGGGTTTGGAAGAGAAAGAGAAGCATCTCTTTAGCATGGAACACACTGTGCACAAAAAGTAACACTACCAGCATCGATTCTTCACATTCAAGCACTCAGTCTGGACAGAGATGTAAACAGCTATGAAATAGGTTGTAACACTTGTACAGGTTGGAACAAACCATTAATGATCCTCATACTCTGCGCTCCAGAGAGCAATACCTGCAAAAACTACCACATGAGCCTCACAGCAGCTCTGGGGCAGGGAGATAATTTACTCTCAGTTCCACCTGGCCTCTGCAACATACTAGTTGCTTATACGTCTCTTAGAAAGTCACTAATTTCTCAAGTTAGGTGTCAAAAACATTAGGTTCCTCTCCATTTAGTCTTATGAGAAATATGGCCTTCAATTGTACACTCTTCAAAACACACTTTGTTGAGTAAGACTGCATATGTGTGCCCTATAATTATTTATCTTTTATCTTACAGTCTTCATGAAATCTAATGTTGAGAAAAAAATTGAGGCAACAAAAGACTTAGTGTTATTGGGCATTCCCTGAGCAAAAATAATTAATTGTGCCCTCTCACTGAAGTAGACAGCTTAGATGATTAGGGATCAGCTCTGCAAACATTTAAAGGTGTGTAAGTTTATTCAGGTGAGTGAATTCACAGAATTACATGAAACCATCCCTCTGGATAATATTACATGGTGTGGGTTTTCCCTTTCTTCATAACTGGGGTGGCTGGAGGTTCCTGACAAGTGTTTTAGAAGTGGCATCTATAGAAAAGGGGAAGGTTTCTATTTTTAAAATTTGTATTAAATAATGGATCCTTCATGCAATATGTTGAGATTTAGTGCTGATCATTTCTGTCTAATTGCTTTTCTAAGATGTTTGGTTAGAAAAATTATTGATGTTTATTACCATTGTTGGCTTCTGCTACCAGAAATCGGTACACTGTTACATCATACTCGACAGTTGCAGGGTGTTCAATCTTTACAATGATTTCACTCACCCCAAAAGACTTTACACAAGCAAAAACAGAAAAGTCAAACAGGAAAGAAAAACTCATCCTGCCTTTGCCTCCTCCTTTGTCTGTGGGCTGCCTGCTTACAGTGCAAAGGCTTGGTCTCCCTACCCAAGGATACTGCACTGCCCTTTCACTTCAGCACATGAAATCTAACAAAAGAATTGCAGGTAGGAATGCGCTCCCACTTGCTCTTCATAGCTGAGATTCATCATTTCAAGAATCTGTTTATCTGTCTTCAGTAGTGACACAGAGGTAGCTATAGGATCTTCTGCAAGTAAATGAAAGAACCAGCTGTGACGACCGCTGGGCAACATGGACGGCAGAAAAATGTTGGGAGGGCAAAACCTATGAATTCTCATTATTGCTGGATCTCTCTTTTGTCTCCAGCTGCTCCTTTCCTCTTTGTACCTATTCCCATCTCTGCTGAGCTATGCTACAGACAGTCCAGAGCTGAACCTACTCAAGCTAAGGAACACCAGCAACTGACAAGCACTGCCATGTGGCAGCTGTGGTCTACCTGGATTTCCCACAGCGGAGGCACTGGTTTGGTTTGGTTTGTATGTCTTCTCTTCTACTAAACTGCTGCCTTCCAGGCAAGTTGGAGACGACTTCTCCCTTTCACACACAATGTGCTCAAAAGATACATGAGGAGGGAAATAGACACATGGATGATTTGATGCCTTAGGTCTCATATTCTTTATGTAAAAAAAAACCCAGAAGATACTGATGGTCTGACTAAGGGAGGGCAAGTGTGGTTTTTTCTGCATTGCCTAGCTAGCAAAGCTCTTAATGTCACTCTGAATTCAGCCTACGTAAGGGTGCGTTTCGCTATGATTCACACAAAACTGAGTATTTTCTTGTCTTTCCAAAACAGGAAAATGGAAAAAAATAGTTGTGCTGAATTTCTGCATGCACTCCCTGTTTATAAGAAGCTGCTGCTTTGTGGCACACTTAGCAATATAGTGAGAAAAACACTTGGGGTTAGTAAATTTAAAAAGCTGATTGAAAAGCGTGAGGTAACCCTGGCTGTTCCCAGAACCAGTGGGAGGGAGGAATGGAGTGGAAACACAGGGGAAAATAACAGGCAACAGGCAGGTGACATTTGTGTACCCGCGTATGCAGGTATGTAATTCCAAGTAAGTATCCAAAGGTGAGAAGAAGGTCATTCAGGGACCTGAGGATAAAACTTTTCTCTTATGATATATCGCACCCACTTAGCATTCATAAAGAGTCACCCACAGCCCCACTATCTGCAGTATTATCAGAAAAAAAAAAACACCACTGCACATGCAGCTGGGTTTCTATGAATGTACCTTTGCTGTAGAATGTGAGAACAAGTAACCAGCATCCTCCTTAATTCCTCTGCTTGAGGAGGAGAACTCCAACAACTCAGCCAAGACCTCACTGTATCATGATATTTCCAGTCTGTTGTTTTCTGCTCCAGGCCTGTAGTTAGTTCAGGCTGCATAATTGTATCTAAACTGATGAAATACAAACATAGGTGATGAATTCTTGTAGTCTTCCCAGTGCTGTGCATGAAACAAATGGTTTTGGGCCTTTTTCAAAGAACGCACTAACATTTTATCTTAGAAAAAAAAATAAATAAAAGAAAAAGGAAAGGAAAACAAAAAAGGAAGAAAAAATAAAAATAATCTGAGAATCTGCTTTCATCTTCCACCCCTAAAGATCAGGCAGCCCTGCAGTGACACATACATTGATTTGTTATCTCAGTGAATTTGTTTTCCTCAGACACGCTTTAGCTAGGAAAATATATAGGAAAGCATCCTGACAGCTATGTGGAGATTTCACAGAGACACCAGTCCCAGATTATTTTCAGGATTGATCTCCCACTCCCTCACAGGATTTACCTAAGGATAAAACATTGTTCGTTAATGTTTGTGGAAGAGGAAGGCATTCAATCAAGGCAAAGCATCCAAGTTAGTATTGATACCATGACAGTGAGGTATTTTATTATCTCCTTTTCATTTTGTTCTGATTATCTTCACTCCAGATCTAGTTGAAAACATACAATGGGCATTAACAGGGTATCTAGGGTGGCTGCTGCTCTCTGCTTCTCTCAAAGGATAGTGATAAGGTTAGGCTGACACTTAATGAAAACACATTTTACAAAGTGAATGGTCTTGCTGATACAAGTTGGGTGCAGAAGGGAGGATGAGCTTGCTTTTGCTCTTTTTTGTTTTGAAAAAATTGAGGGATGAAAGAGCACTATAAAGGACAATGAACTGACCTGATGGGTGGAAAAGAAAAAAGCCAGCGAAAATGCTGAGAAATCTCACATATTCTACTCAGGCCAACTATCAGTCACTTCTGGCAACTCTGCCCTTTGTTTGTCTTCATTTTCACTCTGCATGAGGAGTCATCAGCACCCAGCTTTTGTCACATGAGGAAAGGTTAAGAGAAAGACCACTGGCGGCAGAGAGGTCAGCAGCTGAGGAAGTGGACTTCTACCTTGAGTTTACTCCTGGAGAAGCAAACAACCTTGGTGGCACTAGATTTGTAGGGGATTACCTGCAAGGTAGAAAATATCCCGAAGTCCAGGTGAAAAGGGCACAGCCAGAGCTAAAACATGCAGACATATCCATGGTAGCTATTCTGGTATCACTTAAAAACAAGTGCATATTGATTCCTGTTTAAAAGCAAACACGGAAAGCAAGCCAGTTGTCTGAATCTCAGCTGGATTCTGCCACATTTTCTTGGCTTGTCTTTCAGTGAGAAGTAAAGAAGAGGAAAAAAGTTTTCTATGTGGAATTAGAAACCTTTCTAGCTAGCTCAACCAAGTCTGATACGGTATTTGATAAGAGAATTCTGCAGTTTTAGCTTCAACTACTGCTTCGAGGGGAGAAATTTTTAATACTATTAAGAAGGAACGTTTTAATTTAAATTATCGTAGTACACTAAATCCAGTACATCACTAAAGCATGTTTTTCCAGGAATAGTTTACCCCTCTTTCTAGGCATGTTCAGGTACTTTCCATGATTGGTTTAGGACAGTACAAATTCAGCCCACTGAACAATAAATGAAACAGCAGGTGTGATGCTATATTTGAGTTACTGAGGGCCTGTGTAAACTTGGATTGAAACCCGCAGCAAGGAAAGCCTCTGTCCGCAAAGATGGTAGCTGGAGCAGCCTGCATTCACCCAGGCAAACTTAATTCCCATGATGCAGGGGGGACATAGCTAGTGGCTCCTATGCCCCCCAGCAATGCTGCTCCAACCTGTGCCAACTAAAGAAAGCTAAAAAGAAGCCCTAACTGCTCTCCCTCAAACACAGGCTGTGTTTTGAACAGTTATTTGTTCAGTGAAACACAAAATACTGGGAAAAAAAAAAAAAAGTTAACTGGGACTGGGGGAGAGAAAGCAGCCAGTGCTGTGCTTGGGTTGCAGTGTGTGCTTAGCTGTCTGCTCTTCATGCTAATGGGAGGTGTTTCGGATGCTAGCAGGGGCAGGGGAGCAGAAGGCAACTCTGGCACACAGCATTGTGACAGACCCTGGGCAAAGGGGCTTCAGTACCACCTTTCCAGTAGTGGGCAAAAGTCAGATTTTTGAATATAATCATGGGTATTGTAGGTAATGAGTTGGTTGCAAGCAGTGTGTGAAGCAGTTTATTTGGTTGATACCTGAAACTCTTACTTACAACAATACTGCTTAGGGAGGGAGGAATCTGCAAGTAAAGGATGCTGACATGTGAATGGTAAGGCTTGGACCTGAGCAGGCCCAAATATTAGGCAGCTGGGCCACAGTCCATCATAGTTCTATGCTACCATTGACACCACAGTGATCACCACATGCCAGCCCACTTTTCTAGCACTGTATGATCACACACAAAGAGACTGCCTACTGCAAGGGGAGAGGAAGACTCTGGTGACAGGGATGAGAAGTAATCATACAAATGTTGTGTCTCGCTGTGCCCTTCTGCAAGCCTAAGGGTAAAGTCTAACAAACTCCCTATGGATGTTCCCATATGGAGCAAGAGGAAATTGCATAAGCTTATAAATTACATAAACTTATAGCTGCCATGAGACAAGTCAGAGACACAACATTCATCTCTGCAGCTGCTGCACTATGTATGGCCTTTTCATGGAGTCATCACGGCACTGCCACGACGTGAAATGTGTTCTAAAAATATCTTGTTTCATGCTGGCCACTGACAAAACCAGCTTCCTCTTGCATCCACTTGTGCACACTCACTTTCAGTCCCCGTAAGCAACCAGCACAAAGTCTTTCTCCTTCTGCTGTGCTGTCATGATGCTTTGGGATGTACATTTAGGATGCTCCATGGCTGCAGGGTAATCAAAGACAGATCAAAAGAAACTTCTCTACTGATAGTGACACAAATTGAATCAAGCAGATCCTTGGCCACCAGAAAGGTCATGTAAATGACCTGGTGCAGTGTGTGTCTGCCACAGTGATTAAACAGTTACTAAAATATTTGAAATAATTATGTAAATCTGACAGCAAATGCCAGCATGCTGGTGCTCAATGGGCTGAGTATGCTTCAAGTGGTCCTCAAAAGACAGGGAAGGCAATGCTTATTGCACTGATTTATATCACATTTGTTCACACTCCCAAAATGAGCTAACCCTTGCATTTATATTGATTAACTGAAGAAAGGAAAAAGATGCATTATGATTTACCATGGCTTCTTTTTGCCTCAGTATTTCCATTTGTAAAGTGGGAATAGCAGCAGTTGTGAGTCACCACTGCTCTCACACAAAAAGCACATGCACTGGTCTCTTTTACCTGATTTTCAGGAAAACAAACCTTAAACCAGTAGTGGATTGTTTCAATTACCTCTCTCCTCTTCTGCAAGCAGCTTTTGTTTAACCTTCCCTCACATGATCTGTTAATGAAGCCTAGCCTGTAACTTTTCAGTTTAAAAATAATTCCTCACATCATTCACAGTCTCTAACCTTATCATGGGAAATGCTTTCCAGCATGTCAGCTTGCCCTTTAGACACCACTGCTCCAAGAACAACAGGACACAGATCTTTCCTTCGTGCTCTGTAACTGTTTACAACACCTTGCAGAAGCACAAACATTGCACTTAAGCAAGATTTACACCTCTCTGAACTTAATTACTGCTTGCATTTCAAAACAGAAATGTTGTATCATTATTTGTTTAAATCAAAATGTGATTTCAAACATTAAACAATATAAGAAGTACTCCCCAAAGCCTTCTTTGAATTCTGTTAAAAATGTCTTCACTGTGATCTCTAGAGGAGAGATGGGCAGTAAAAAATTGATCTTGGTCAGAGAAACTTTACAACACAGACAAGATTTGAAACTTCAAACTTGTTACAATAAAATTCTAAATTAAGAGAGTCAGAAAATAGTAACCACTTTTGTGTAAAAATTGAAAAAAGTATCCTTTTTAATATGGGGGGGAAACCAATGCCCTTTAAATTTTAGAGAAAACATCAATATGAAAATAATTCTCTATTTATGAACTTCTACATCAGCAATTTAATATACTTTCTCACATGCCGCCACTATTCCCCCATGTTAGCTTTTAAAATCACAAGTCTCCCAAAACTCAGAAATGATTACCCACCAGAAATCAGAAGACACTGAGTAAAGAATGAGGAACTGATCAAACTGAGGTTTGACATTTTAAATACGTGAGCTATGCCATGGTCAAAGCTTCAAAGCTGACTTCAAATATGACTCGATATTTAGCCTCTCTAAACAAAATGCAAGTTAAGGTTAAGGAAGAAGAAAGCAAATCAACTTATATTGCCACACACACAAAAATAACCAGAAAACCTCACAGGAAAATCATACTGCTTTTGGGAAATTCTAACCCTAAAGCAGCGGTGATAGCAAACCACCCCCCCCCCCCCCACCACCACCTCCCCCGCCCCACCCCCCTCTTCTTTCTTGCAAGGCAAGCAATTCCTTGCATCATTCCCCAACTCTTGTGATCAGGTAAGACATTGAGATGCAAACGAAGTCGCCTTTGCCTTGTGAGCCAGCAGAGAAGCTGGAATGCAGTTTCTTATCTGGAACTTGGGTGAGGAAATGATGATTCTGGGAGGTCATAAGACTGCTGAAAACAAAGAGGTGTTTCAAAAGGGTTGTGTCATTGCGTCCCAGCCATCTCCCAGGTCTTCAGAAAATTCACAGAATCCTATCTATGTTCCTTTGAAGCACACGTTGCTTCTTTTTCTAACCTAATAATGATGCAACTAACTTCATTATGGGTGCTATAGCCGAAGCACAGTTTGAATCTGATTTTTTACAAGAGAGAATCCAAAACAAAGATTCTTAAGTGGGTACTTATGAATGCTATTGATTCCAGAGGGATATTATAAACTCCAGACCCACCTCAGATCTTTGGTTGGGCAGAAAGGTTGCTTACTTTGCATGGAGCTTTAAGGAAGAAGAGAAACTCTCCATGCATTTTAGTAGCCTTTTTACCAGCCATATTCAAATCAAGTTACATAAAAAACTGGCACTAAAAATAACTATTAAAGTGAGCAGTATTTCTTAAGATGGCACAAGGATATCTGTTCTATAATTATCTACCCACATCCTCCTAGCTTTCTGAAATAGTCACTCTGGTATTGGAAACTTACTGTGCTTTTTTTCTATAAGAAGAATCTTTACCATAAAATAAAAGAAAAACATGATTATTTTTCTGAAACTTTCTATGACCTGATGTTTTGAAGTTTCTTTTTCCTAAACACAAGTATGACTCTGGTATTTCTTACACATAAATGTAAATCAGCACAGTGCTCTGCAATATGCCTGTACTTTTCTAAACTGGATCAATGTGGGACTGAACAGAAGTACCTATATGACAGGAATTTTGTTGGGTTGGTTTTGTTTTATTTTTTGGTGTGTGTGTGGTTTGGGTTTTTTTGTTCTGTTTTTTCTTTTTCTTTTCTTTTTTTTTGCATTTGAGGGTAAATAATATTTTAAGATACACCGTGATTAAGATCATACTGCTGTAGAAGTCCATTCCTTAATCACAGATTTAAGCCAGATGTGGTATAAATAAACATGTTCACAGTTAAAGCTTTTAAAGTAAGCCAGTTCAACTTTTTTTTTTTATTCCAGGAATAAAGATCCTGTATCTAGTCTTCATAGTAATGAAAAAAAAAATATGTTTGCCTAAATAAAATCTACTTCCTTTGCTGTTGTGATAAATGGCATCCAAACCAACCACTTGTTTTTGCTTCAGAAATGATCATAGTACATGAGTTATCTTGAGATTGCTGGTCTGTGGGAGTTGCCCCTGCACACATTTGTGTCATGGTTAAGTGTGACCTTAGCTTATTCTGTTTACATTGCACAAATGTTTTTGATACACTGGCAGCCCATTGTAGCTTTGCAAGTCAATTACCATGACAAAGGAGCTTTGCTGTTCTGATTTCTGGGTCTTTTTCTGGCAGATAGAGGTTGCCCTTGGCCCTTTCCTCTGCACTACTTTTACCAGGAGAAGAAAAAAGAAAAAAATATTTCAAAGTACCAAACAAGTTCAGAAATCCTGGATTCAAACACGTAGAGTGGCTCCAGAGGGGGAGGATTGTGCTGCACACCTGAGATGTGCAGTGGCAGCTGAGTTTCACGTTGATAAGATGCTTCACTGGAGATCCATGCTGAGACCACCCACCAAGCACAGAGGCAACACACTGCTGTGCACATTCTTGGGAATATTGAGAAATGCATGGCCTCTGTCATCCGGTAACTTGTAGGACCAGACAGCTACAGGGAGGTTAGCAATCTTTAAGCTGTTGCAATGAAAACATGACCACTTATTAAAACGTGTTATTCCTGTGTCTTAGAAGTGTGGTATGCCTTTGGCAAAAGAGTTGGAGTTCTGCACAGATAGAGTTCCTCAAAAGCTGTTTTTTCAAAGCAATTTGGAAAGTTACCCTCCAAACAGGAGAGATTTAAATTCACGGACAAGGGCTTTCTACCTTCCAAGTTTTGCGCTTCAGGTTATTGCAGAAAGGACTGTGACTACTGTGATTAGCATGGCTATCTAGACCTCCTCTGGACTGGATGCACAGCTGAGCTTTCAAGAAGAGGAACTGAAGAAGCTCTTGATTTCACACCTTCAGTCTGCTAATGTGAAAGGAGTGCTTTGCCACTAGACCATGTCATGGTTGCTTGCCCTCAGAGATATCTTCAACAGACTTCAGCAGACTACACCGCATTTGCAGTTTGGCATGTGAACACATCACAGTGTACAGACTGGAGCAGCAGGAATAGTGCTGGGACAGGGGGATGTCTAGTAGCTGTGCTGTATGACTTTTTTACCTTGTCTGCAGTCACGAACAGTCTCTGCAGCATGGTTGGCAGTCTTCACATTGATGACAATATAATTAGTTCCCAGAGAGGAAAAGTTTATCCAGGAGTTAGAGGTAGTCCTAGGCTAGCTTTCTATCACAGGTTTCTAAATGGCAGTCTTGTGATGACCAGGTTCTGACCACAGCTGTTGTAGCACAGATTTCCCCTGTATATGCCTATGTTTCTGCACCTGGGCTCCCAGGCTCCCTTCCAAAAATACCTGGAGAACTGGTATGTCCACACAACAGTTATGACTGAGTGCAAGCCAAAGTCAGTGTGCTGAAGGTGAAAGTATTCCTGTCTCCTCCAAGAATTTCAGCAAATTCTACCTACTATAATAAATAAACTTGTAGGCTGAAGTTAGCTTCATAGTAAAAATGGTACCTGGCAGTTGTGTGTGTGTACGTGCACAAGAGTATTCATGAGGAGAGGTAAGACACTGGTATCACATGCTTAGCTGACTACATGGTAACCTCCCTAAAGAGACAGGACCTCACACCATCCAGAAAAGCATCAGCTTCATGGATCTCAGGGTACATTACAGAGCAGCAGACATGTGATTTATGGTGCAAGACTCTGTAATTTTGACCTTACCTCCTGTCATGCTAGCTAAACATCTTGCCCTTTTAGGAGAGAAGTCCTTGTCCACAGCTCATTGAGAACTTAATTGTAGCCTTTCAATGTTCAGTTGATAACAGATACAACTGCAGAAACAAAGCTAACCCAAATACGACTGAGAAGTCCCACTGCATGGAAAATAATAGCAAAGAGCTGTTAAAATAAAAACTTCTCAAATCCTATACAAATTAAAAGAAAAACAAACAAAAAATAAAAACCTAAAAAGAACCACAAAACCCAAACAAACCAACCAACTAACAAACAAACAAAAAAAAAAAAACACCCACCAAAAAACCTAACTATGAATTAGCCAAATTATATGAAGTTCATCTAACTCTCCTAAGGTATTTACATGAGGACTGGTTAAGTAGTGAAAAGCTTCATGCTGGGAAGACACAAATGATAGTCTTACTCAATGCATGCATTTTCATTTTCCTAAGGAAATTGGCAGTTTTCCTTAGAAAACGCTGGTCTTGAAACTGTTGTTTGACAACTGGAAATACAAATGGTTGAATAGAAAGCACAAGGATATGTAGCTTACTTTTTCACACCTACATTCTAATTCTTCTAATATGTGCCAGTGTTCAGTGCTGGTTGTTGCAGTGTATGTCACACTCTTCCTTGCTTCAGAAGATGTTTGCAGAGTCTCTGTATGGTCAGTCTGCTACTAGCCATATAACAACTCTGGGCAAAACAAGAACTTCCAGAAATTTCAGCCACAAAGACCATTAGAAATTTGATAACACAGCTTTGCAAAGCAAGTAAATATTAAAATGGGGTGCAAATAATCCCTAGCAATTGTAATGTACTCAGTGTACATTTGCTGCAGTGATATTTTGAAGAAGTCCCCTCTACATTTTACATCCCTGCTCAAAGTGGTACGGCTGCACATGTATAAATGATCTTGATAAACCAGTCTTCAGTGTTAATATGCGAGCTTTCACCCAAGTAAGTAGTTCAGCTCTAAATTACCTTCTTTTCTTGGAGGCTTTCCAATGCTTGCTTATGACTACTCACTAATCAAGGAGATCCATTGTTGGCTGTATTTTTGTGGAATCGGTACACTAGTTCAATGTCAGGAGACTTACACAAATACTTTGCAAAGGCAAAACAACTCCTCTTCATATTTGAGATGGTCATATTTCATATTTCATATTTGGCTTTGTAGGGTTTCCCTGAGCCAGAGACTGCTCCCAGGATAATCGGGGTAACGAAACATGTATTGCTCATTTTAATGATACATTGTCTTAAGACATCAAAAAAGGGAGAAGCGCACATCATATGATTTCTTCCTTTTTGCTGTTGCACAAGTCTACAAACCTTGTTTTTTACCCTAAATACATGCTTTCAAGTCTGTGAGCTAAATACAGGCTTTACGAGAGTGTAAGGGGGAACCCTGCATAGCTCTTGCAGTTATTCCACTATAAGAGGCAAGTTCCCTGATAAAAATTCAAGTCTATCTAGTCCTAGCTTGATGTAGGCCAAGACACTGTATATCTCTGCATCTCGTGTGCTGCAACTCCCAGTGCTGTAGTGCTTTCCAGTAGCCGGACACTACGCATATAGACACCAGCCACGCTGGTGGTAAAATGCCCAACTCTTACCAGACTCGGTGCAAGAGCATCTGCCTGCCTGGCCTCTGGCAGGACGCTGAGACCCCCAGGGCCACAGACTATCTCTGCTGCACGGGTGCAGCCCGGCAGGCTGACCAGAGCAAGAGCCATCCTCAACTGGTCTGCAACCTGCGGTTTTGTCCTTTTCCTCCAGATTTTGTTTTTCTTTAGTCAAAGTTGCCACCC